GCCGGGTGCCCAGGGCGGTGGCGGCGATTTCGTGCAGAAGATCGGCTCCAACTCCTTTATGGTGACTCCCCGGGGGCGCCGCCCCAGGGTCGCAGCCGCCTCTGCGCTCAGTAATGGGCCCGTGGAGGACACTGCCCCTCCGTCTCCCTCCAGGAGTCCCGGTCAGCATGGGGGGGCCGCCGTCCCCAAAGCCGTGCCATGCTCCAGGGCCACCGCAGCTTTGTCACCTCTGCTAGAAGCCAGCGCTGGGAAGCCAAAGCCCGAGGCCGCCGTTGAGGCCTCGCCACAGCTGCTCCCGCTGTCCAGTGCCAGTCCGGACAGATGTGCCTTGGCCGGTCCACCCCGGCCCTCTCCGCTCTTCAGCTCCAGCTGCTCCTTTGAGATCCGCCCAGCCCCCAAGCCCGATCTGTCTGCCATTCCTGCTCACGACCTCCAGGCACGTGCCTTGGCCAGTCTGCGTCTCAACTCCCGTAACTCTTTTCTTTTTGTGCCCTGCCGGAAGGAGGAAGCCGCTGGCCCTCCTGAGCCCGTGGAAGCTCTCTCCTCTGTGCCTGGAGAGGCCCTTCCCGGTGTCCCCGAGAAGCCCGCTGAGGCTCTGGTCCCCGTGACTTACATAGATGAGGATTTAGTGGCACCGGTGTGTGCACACATGCCCCCCTTGAAAGCCTTGAGCCCGAGACTGGAGGGCTTTGATGTGCCCCGAGAAGGTACCTTGGCTCTTGAGATGGAGGATTCTGCTTTACCCGCATACAGGCCCCTTTCCACTGGTTCTGTTGCTCTGTCTCAAAAAAGTACTAGCACCTTCACTGTAGTGCCCAAAAGGAAGCCCCCCGCTGCTGGCCTGGAGACCTTCAGCAGAGCATGGCTGCAGGAGGAAGAGGAGGAGGAGGAGGAGGACAAAAGCCAAACTAAAGCCAAGACGGGAGCCCCCCAGCAGGAATTAGGTCATGTCAAAAAACGCTATCCCACTGTGAATGAGATCGAAGTGATAGGGGGCTACCTTTCTCTGGATAAGTCCTGCATGAGCAAATCAGGTTTTCGGCGCAAAAAGGTAACTAGTTGACATTAGTGCTGATCAGCTGTATTTCTGTTGAATTTTTACAGAGAGGGGAGGTGAGAAGCACTTGTCTGAAGCGTGCTGAACAACTGTTGTGCAATTACTGTGGGACTTCTCAATCTCTTAACTCTTGAGGTGTGGCCTTAGAACATTTCGCGTTAACAGTGGATTAACCTGTAGGCGAGTGTTCAGTAAACATCATGTACTATGTGCTACTGTTCCCATGGAGTAGCTCGTAGTATAAATATGCCAGACATTCTTAATATGAGTACAGAGTTAGCTGGCTTGTGTGAAATAGCAAACAGAAATTTGGAAGGGTTTCGCACCCTTGATTCCATCCATCAGCTGTGGATTGTAAGAAAGTGACCCTCCTTGTCCTGCTTCAGTCCTGTGTTGCAGCATTCTGACAGCGGTTGATGGTGGATCTGATCCGATTTCATAAGCGTGAAGCTACATGATCTGTATGCCAGAAATGTGGGATGGGGAAGCTGACAATCATCTGACGTAGAGCTGAAGCTGAGCTGGGAGGTGTTATATTGTGTTTTATTCCCAGTTGTTGCTAGACTGTGTACACTGGGCCATCTGGGTTTTGAGGTGTCATACGCTCATCAGTGTGTCTGCTCCCAGCACAAGCAACAGGCCTTATTTCATTGGACTGAGCAAATAACTGTGCCAAGAACTGCAGTTTTTGATGGATCATGTTTTTAAAAAAGCAGTCTAAAGAAATTGTGGCTAAAAAGTACATCTAGATACAATATTTTCTCAAGCAAATCTGGGTGGAGAGAAATCACATGCTTTTTCTAGTCTATGTTTGGGAATCTCCATCAGAGATTCAAAAATTCTAGACTAGCATCCAGTATCATAAGTGCGTATCCAGATTGGATATGTAACTTCTGGGTAGCCGTCTAGAGATTGCTGTTCTTGTTAATGTAATTCTTTAGCCGTAAATTAAGGTGTTAGAGAGCTGGTTTGGTGTGGTGGTCAAGGCATCAGGCTAGAAACCGGGAGACTGAGAGTTCTAGTCCTGCCTTAGGTGTGAAGCCTGCTGGGTGACCTTGAGCCAGTCACTCACTCTCAGCCCTAGGAAGGAGGCAATGGCAAACCACTTTTGAAATCTTGCCAAGAAAACGGCAGGGACTTGTCCAGGCAATTGCCAGGAGTCAACAGTGACTCGAAGGTACAAAAAAAAGGTGTTGCCTGCTCAGTGTTTTCTATCAGGTTACAGGTAGGTTTGACTGCTGGAATCCCTTCTAAGGAGTCATACTATAGTGTAGGCCCATAGGCCTTTTTCTTTCAAGAAACCTTAAATCAAGAATTGTTTCGTCTTGGAGAAACAAATTCAGTCATAGTCTGTAGCTTTTACACACAGATCAGGATGGGGGTTGACATTCAGGGCTCAACATGAAACTCTAAGGAGGTCTGCCAAGACTGCAGGGCAAACGTGGTGTCCTGTCTTGTCACACCTCCTCTAGTTCTTCAAGAATACAAGTGTTTAGAAACTGATGGGAGATGCACACCAATTGCTTTAGTATTCTTCAACAGCAACCTGGTCCCTTGCCATGCAACAGGAGCACTAGGCTGTGCTCACTTTTCAAACTTGTTCATGCTGAACCAAGCAGACCACATTTCCTTCTGATTCATGCAGTTAGCTTACCATTGGTACTGATTCCTCTAACAGGGTGTGGCAGAGTCCAGGATAGGAAAGCGAGGTCAAGTGATCAAATTATTATGTAATATCAAAGATTAGGCTGGAGGAGGTGAAGAAGTGGTAATTATTTATGTATACATTTCCTTGTAGCTCGGGTTTCCTTTGAGACATTGCTGCTCTGCTCCTTAGCTGGCAAAGCCCCCCCCTTTTTTTCGGTGCACTGAGGCTTACTTTCCTAAGCTGACCGTTTTGAGGACCAGTGCCTGCTTTTCTGAGACTTTGTCCTTTTGATCAGTCAGGTGCCTGCTGAGCTCCCACCCCCTTTCCAGCTGCTTAAGGGCTTCCCCCTGTCCTGGCTGAAGTCTCTCTTTATATTTCAAAGTCGAGGAACCCTGCCCCTGAAGGGTCATTGTACTGTTTTTGTTCAGCTCCAGCAAGGCTGTCAGTTCCTGGCTCTTGGCCTGGAAGCTCAGGTGGCTGTGAACAAAGAAAATACAAAGGCATTGATAAGAGTGTCCTATTGGAGGAAGAGGTGCTGTTGCGAAGTACATGGCCTTGAGCACTTGTATATAGGGTGAGCAAAGGATGCTGCTACTCCCATCAGCGTAAAATATTCCTGGAAATTAATTTATGTCCACAAAATACCTGTCAGCCAGAAAACAGTTTACCAACTCCAAAGAGGGCAAGTTTCAAAGAACTGCAGTTATTGCTCGGTTGTTCGATTTGTATCTTGCCTTTCTTCCAGGAGTTGAAGATGGCAGGTGTACTTCTCCACAAGAACAACCCTGTGAATTAAATTAAGCTGAAAGAGAGTGACTGTCCAAAGTCTCCCAGGGCTGAGGATGGACTTGAACCAGGGGCTCCCCGCTCCTGGTCGACCACCTTAACTGCCACGCCACACTGGCGTGAGATGCTTTAAAGTAAAACTTAGTGGACTCTGGAAGTTGGCTGTGTGCCTTTTTAAAAATAGCTTTAACTTGCTTGCTGTTCAGTTTGAATCAATACCTGCAGCATCTTCCCTTTTCGGGAGATACTTTTGGAGTTGTCTGGAGATAGAAAACGTTCATGTGTATATGAATGTATGTACTGTATGTATGTATGTAAATTAGTCAGCAAACTTTCTTGTGGTGTTTGAAACTGGCATCTGATATTATGATCCTGCTCTACTTGCAGGATACCTCAGGGTATTGATTACAGACAGAAAGACAATTGTTTTATGGACTTTCTTTCTTGTACTGGAACATTCTGGCATTTTGGTTCACTGACAACCATTTGTATGTCCCGTTTGCATTTTGATTGCAAAATCATGAGCCGGGAAGATGAATGAGGAATCTCCTGGAAGTGGGGAAAAGAACGATGAGATATTTTCCTATAGACGATTGTATGCCACAGTATACGGCTACATACTGAAAAGCCCTTTGCCATATGGAAGCTGAGCCTTGAGGCTGCTTTGCTAAAGTTCTAGTTCTGCCTTGTCAAAGCACTGTAAGTGGGACTGTAAGGCAGTTGCTGTTGCTGTAAGACAGACTGCAGTTTGTATTTTCCATAGCTGAGTAGAGGCTGTGGATGTCTAGGCTTCTGCTTTTCTTCTCAATGCTTGAAATTGGCTTAAAAGGTTAAATGGGCATAAGTGAGCGTTGCAGTCTTAGCTTCATTGTTGATATTTCTTTTAGAGAAGACTGCTTTGGTTTGAAACATAGTTTGTTTATTTTTAAAGTGATTGTTTTAAAACAGGACCCTTGGTGGTGATGATGGGTAGTTCTAAAATGGAGCAAAAGTTTTATATGGCTGGGTTGCCTAAGCACCTGCTCTGTATCCTCCTGGGAAACTTCCTGAACCATTCAAAAGTCCTCTGTCTGTTTATTGATTCCCCAGCGAAGTGAGGCTTCACTGCGGTTTGACTAAAATTCTTTTAATGGGTGTCTTGAAGGATTCCAGCTGGTATAAGCTAGAAGTTTACCTCACTGAAACTTGAGGTAGCTATAAAGCAGTTTCTCACTGTTTTTTCAGATGAAGATATCTTTCAATGAGACCAGTTTGCAAACAATGTTTGAATATCCAGCTGAGAGCTCTTTAGTGGAAGAGGAAGAAGAGGAGGAAGAAGAGGAGGAATATGCCACAGAAGTAGATGAGAAACCTGCCTTTTTCATTCCTCGCCCAAACAGTACTATGAACTCAGTCAACTCAGGTAAGAAATCTCATTTTCCATCCCATTTCAAAACACTTCTAGTTGAAGCTATGGCAGGTCCCCAGTTATGATGTAATACTTTTGGAACTGGAGTTGGGTGAGGCAATGACCCTGTTATCCTTAACTTTCCATATTCAGGAATGGAATGGACACTAAACACCTGCGGTTAAAACAGCAGTGTCCCCAGTAGGATAGAAGGAAAGGAAGGAAACATTTCAGAAAGTTGAAATTTTAAACTTCCATTTCCTTTTTTGGTCCAGTAGCGATTTACCAGAGGATAACTCCTCTTTCTAGCCTTAACACTGACAAAATGAAGTCCTGTGAATACATTTAACCATTTTTTCAGTGGTTCCAAAACATGCCCACTTCTTCCTGTAGGCCTTGAATTACTCCGGATAATATTGGTCAGGCAGCTGAAGCTCTTGCTTTGGGGGCTCTGCTTCATGGGGTGTCAGCTGAGCTGAAAAGGTTGGATCCTCAAGGTGTATCCTTAGAGAAGAGTCTCTGCTGATCCCACCCCATCTTACCCTTCTGTTTATTGTTTTTGTGATGCCAGGCGCTCATACTTTTTTGATAGGTTTGTCAAGTTACACTCCCAAGCACTCCATGGGCCTCAACAAGTGGCAGGAGCAACAGCATGAGAAGCTGCCTCCAAGCATTGAATCCCTTCCACAGGAAACTGACCTGCCAGATCAACAAGTCATGGTAAGACTTGGGAAGGCATGTATTTGTCCTTTTGCCTGCAGCCTTAGAGGGGGTATCAGCAGGTGGCAGCTTTTTAATGTACAAAGTCAGCAAAGTAAACTTTGCTTACAGTAACAAAAAGCAGAGGCAGCACGCAAAGTTCTGGGCTTGCAGCTGCTCAGAAGCAAGATGGTGTCAGAGTCATTCCTGTTTTGAATGACCTACCTCTGTGGGAAGTGGGGCATGGTGTGCTGCTTCCCTGCGTCTCTCCTTTCCAGAAAAGCAGAGCAGCCTGGCAGCCATCTCTTTGTCTCCTCACAGCTCACCCCTGCCGAAAAGAGCCACCTCTCTGATTTCAGTAGCGAGCCTGCGCTCTACTTCTGATTTTTAACGCTGGAGAGAGATATTCCTGGTTTCTGTGGAGGAGCTTTGAGAGACAAAGGCAGTGCGCGAAGCCAAACTTCTCTTCCCTCATCAGGTATTGAGACGTCCCGGAGGGCCTCACGTTCAAAAGCGCCCCTTGTTTTGGCAGCGTGGGTTTCTTACCTGCCATCTTACTGTTCTGAAAGAAACGCCTGAAGAGCAACTCCTGAGGCAGCCAGACGCTGAACGGGCTGCCAGATGCTTGGAGACTGCTTTTTGGCCACTGGGCTGAGCGGCTTCCTCCAGCCAGATGTGTGTGAGCTGGCTCAGTGATGAGCCAAGCAAGCAAGCAAGCAAGCAAGCAAGCAAGCTGTGATTTGGCAGCTGTGACCTAATAGAAAATATTATCGCGGAATTCACCTTGGGGAAATCATGCTCTGAACACTTAGCAAAAGCAGCCTTTGGGTTTTGCAGCTGGGCAAATAATGAGAAATGCCGTTGCCTCGAGTAGACTAACTGAACGCGTAGATTCTGTTACTTTAAAGAAAGTACCAACTCCCAAAGGGCCAATCACACACACGTGCCCTAATCTGATGCTGGTATTTCTGTGACCAAATCCTATATAAGGTTGGCTGTGCAGCAGTTTCTTAGATGCATCTTGTGGCAACTGGAATTATGTAGAAAGCTGGCAGTTTGTGATCTTTAGCCTTTTTTGAGCTGATCCTTGGTGCACATATTTTCTTTGCCAGACCCAAAATTTTGGTAACAGGTTTGAGAGTTACCGTGTCTGAATGAAGCTCTAGGCAAGGTGGCCGGTCGTTCATCTGCAGTGCCACTAAGTGCTGTTTCACTCCTGGGGGCATCTTCCCCTGCACAGCTCTTAGAGCCAAGTTTTCCAGGACCGACGCAGCTCATGTCTGAATCCTGGGAGAATGGAGACTCATGGCTCTCTGATCCTTCCACTGCAAAGTAAAATGATAACCTTTTGCTGTCACATTTTCCAGAAAGCAGCTGGTCTGATCATCTGAAGGAGGTTTATGTTGTTTGATTGGCTAGCACTGCATTCATGTTGTGGAAACCAGAGCAAACACTATCTTTAGCATCTCAGTAGCACTCCAGGCAAGAGCAGAACATTATGTGTTTATGGAGGTGACTCAGCCACACGTTTAGCCTCCTATGAAAGGACCAAGTTTTAAACCTCCTGGAGAGTGTGTGTGTGTCTGCTTTCTGTTTAGTATCTAAAATCAAAGCAAGCTAGTTTACTGTTGTGTATTTTGCACTTAATAATTGTTTATTAAGGGAGGAAGTTGGGGCTTCTGATCTTACACTCAGCTGGCCGCTCTTGCCCGATCTAGCTGGAGAAACCAACCCGCTATACAGGTTCCCCTTCCCCCTTAGAATGGTGTAACTTTGGGCTTTCCAGGTTCATTAAACTACACAAGTGATTTCTTCATGACTGTTGTTGGGTGATTTATTTGGCCGTTTTGTGCAACTGGCACATCAACGTGTGCAGAATTGCAGTATCAGCCTGCAGTGGGTGCTTCCCACCTGAACCCAGCTCTGTGTGTTTTCCTTTCGCCGGATGCACCAGCGGAGGATTCCTACTCTTAGTCCAGCTGCCTCAGCGCCTGGCTGTTTTGCTGGAGTAACGTTCAGGGAGACGGGGCAGCCGCGGCATCGTCGAACGGAGAAGACGCGAAAGCGCAGAAGGCCGGAGGAGAAGGAAGCTGGACAGCAGAGACAGATCTCCGTTCAGCAGGCGGAAATAGTCGGGCCTCGTCCGTCCTCGCTCGTTAAATCCTCGCTGTGCCCTTTGGAGGACTCTGGCTCTGTGTTTTACTGATGTCACGGTCGCGCCGCTTCTACCTGTTCCAGGCACGAAGCGGGCTGACCGTGCGCATCCCGTTGCAGCACGGGTACTACTTTGGCCTACCTTTCCCACTTGCTGAGCTGGCTCGAGGAACGCGTCGTTTTGTTGTGTTTCGCTCCTTCGACTTCTGTTCCACCCGTTCCCAAGAGAGCGAGCGGGCCGAGGGCCCCCAGCGAAGCGCAGGGGAAAGAGGACGCCGAAGCGCGCGCAGATGACAGCGGCCGTCCGACGCTTTCCGGAGACCCGGACGGGGAACGGCGGTTCCCGCGCCGCCCTTCCGTCTGGAAAGGGCTCCGGCCGCGTCGCGCAGTCGTCTGAGCCACGACGGGCCGGGCTGCGGCTCAGGGGCCCGGCGGGCGACGGAGGGAGCGAGCGAGCGAG